ACCAAGTAGTGAGAGAACATGGGTGCGGGAGGGGAGACTGAGAAGCGGGGGACCTGGGTTGCAGGAGGGGTGACCCAGCAGTGGGGGGACATGGAGTGCAGGAGGGGTGACTCAGAAGTGGGGGCCTGGGGTGCAGGAGGGGGGACTCAGCAGTGGGGGGCAATGGGGTGCAGGAGGGGGGACCTAGAAGTTTGGCGACATGGGGTGCAGGAGGAGGGACTCAGCAGTTCGGGGATCCAGCAGTGGGGGGATGTGGGGTGCATGGGGGAGACTCAGAATTGGGGGCCTCGGGGTGCAGGCTCAGGCAAGGCCTCAGGACTAGGCACACCACTGAGCCAGGCAGGCGGGCAGCAGAGCGGGGCCTGGCGGCACTGGGACAGGGCTGGAGAAACAACCTGTCCCTTCTTGGCATCTGGGAGGAGGTGAGGGCCACCACTGGGGGTGGGCGCCTGGGGAGAGCTTAGGGGCTGGGCCAGTGCGCTGGGTCCCACACCAGAGACGCAGTGCCAGCTGCCACAGCTCTGAAGGCAGAGCTTGGGAAGCCCCCTCCCCTCGGGGCCCTGTGAATCTCACACCGAGCAGCGCTGGGTGCCCTGAGCCCCGAGTTGGTTGGGATCCCAGTGAAACTGTTTGGCTCAGGTGTCAGAGAAGCGGGCCTTCTCAAGCACAGGTCTGGGGTCCAGATCCCCCGCCTCAGTGTTAGTCAAAGTGGCTCATTAGTGACCCGGGTCCCTGAAGCCACAGCTCCAAACACAGCCCGATGCGCAGCAGAACGTGCGCCCAATGGGCATCCGCCCCATCCGTCTTCATTCCTCCCGCCTAAAACCACCTTGGGGTGCCTTCTGCAGGAAAATTCACAGGCAGGATGGATCCAGGCCTCCCGGAGGGCTGTGCTCTCTACCCACCCCCTACTCCTCCCCCCATCCATTCCCTAGAGTCCCAAACAGGCCGGGTTTCAGGGGGCTGCAGCCCAAGGACGCGAGGATGGGGCACCCGCGGTGTGTTAGTTCAGGGAGTGGCCGGGAGGAAGGTGAGGGGCTCCAAGGGGTTGCTCACCTTCCTCTTGCTCCCTCCACCCGGCCTGGCTCCCACACCCCACACGGACCCTCCTCCACCCAGCGCAGCTCAGGACCACTGCAGGGCCGCCGGATCCGGACGTGAGCCCCACAGTTAGACGGACTCCTGGGCTGTGTGAACCCCCACCCCCGGGATACTCTGGGTCAGGGGGCGCACGACACAGGGGGTGGACAGGGGCGCTGGCACCTTGAAATCTGACGGCGGTTCTACACCTGCAGGTACTCTCCACCCTCTGGTCACCATCACTCCCCTGCTTTTCCTCTGATCTCCAAGAAAACGGGAGGGACACTGGGGGCCCGGGGAAAACCCTGTGCAGGACGCGAGCCCGAGGTCCTGGGGCCGATGCTGAGCCATGACACCGACATAATTCAGGGCCACCAGCAGAGCTGTAGCCACGGCCACCTCCTGGGGCCCGGGCAGCCCCGAGGTCGCTTCAGCTGTGGTTCTGAAGGGGACGAGTGAGCTGGTTCTGAGGAGTAGATGCAATGCACAGCCTCACCCTGTGGAGTCCCTAAAAACCTGCCCTGAGGCATTAACTCTGCCCCAGAGACGCCGGGACCTTACGAGGCATTAAATCCCCTGGGGATCTGTTTCGAGTGACATGTCTGTAAGCTCAGCACACAGGCTGACAAGGAGGTGACATGAGGACAGTGGTTAAGGGTCCAGAGGATGTGATAGCTGACCACATGAGGCCACCTCGGGGTCCTCACCCTAGGCCCCAGGGACATTCTGGCCACCTCAGGCCCCTCCCCCAGCACAGTCCTGCCTGCTGCCCCACTTCTTGCAAGTGTCCGGCCCAGCCGAGGCCCGAACCCAGGCCTCCTAAGAGACTCAGCCTCACTGTGGCTTAACACACACAACCCTGGGAGAAACCCAGCGACTTCAACACGCCAGCCCGGCCTTCTGTCACCCCAGCTCCAGGATCCACTGAGCAGGCCCGGGGAGGGTCATCCTGACCACCCCCTGACCATCCTTCATGAACCAGAACAAGACACCCTACTTAGGCCCTCGGAGCATCACTTCCACCTACCTTGTAAGGACAGCCCTGGCCCAGTCACGGACAGGCATTGCCCACTTTATAACTGTGAGCCTGGCTCCGAGAAACTTGAATGAATAAAATCCTGAATGTAAAGGGTCGCGTAATAATCTCAAAATCCCCTGAAGGGAAGCAGGATGGATCATTTGGAATTTTCCCTGGACTTATTCTGGTTTTCAAATTTTCAACAACACACGTAAGAAATCTTTATCACCTGGAAAAATCATGCTTTGTAGCAAAGTAGCCTGGAATTATAAAGTGGGAGAATCCAGTCCTGCCTGAGGGCGCGTGAAACATCACAGGGTGGTAGCACCGACCTTGGTCAGGACCCACCAACGACCACTCCCAGGGTCCCCGCCACCCCAAGGGGGTCTAGTTAGGTGACAACTAGGAAATGAACTTCCGTTGCTCTACTGCAAGCGTGGAGTGAGCAGATTCAGATCCAGCTATGCAGGAGAAGCAGTGACACAGTGATGACATTCATTTTGCGACAGACATGACCTTTCAACTCAGAGCTTGAGCATCGATCAGGAGCTGAATTAGTCCCACAGCAGCGAAAGCACAGATGGTGTCACTGGGGAGGCACAAGCAGCGGCAGGCAAGCGGGCAGGGACGCGGGTCAGGAGGTCCAGCGTGGGGACACAGGCGACACTGGAGGGCTTTTCAGTAAAGAAACTGCGGAAAGTTTAAGAGGCTCAGGAAAGCAAGAAACAAGCATTGCTTACCAGGTAAATTCTATCCAATAGAGAATTCTATCCAAAAAGCTTTTCTTTTATCTACCAGCACTATAGAGACAGATTTGATGCCATGGGTTTAAGGAAAAATGCTTAGAAAAACAGTCACAAGATCTACGTCTTGCAAGGAAAATAAAATGTGAGAATTTACTGAAAAATTTTAGATGCCGAATTTTTTAAAAAAAGGGAGTGATGCATTCTGTGTTAGATACTGACCTTCAAACTCCAATGTGATTTCCCAAGCGTGATTTACAAATACAATGATTAAGAGGTATTTCTATGTTTTGTTATGGCCATTTGGCTAAAAAAAGAAACAACAGAAAAACCCACATTCAAATAACATCAATATTATTTTAGATGTGCTTTATCGTCCCAGTCCACAAAGGGGAAGATGAGGATGAGGCTATCGGCCGAAACCAAAAATAATACCATTGTTTAAAAGAGGATTCAGGTCAATGAATAAAATTATAAAATCTTTAGTCCAGCTTCTACCCTCGAATATCAAAGCACGGGCCAGTGGACCCAGGATTTATCACAATAATGTGTTTTAGGCTTTTGGTAAATTTAGCTCAGCCAAAAAAAAAAGGCATTTAAATGAATATCCACGTCACTGTGACCCAAAACTACCTGCACTACAGGTGATGTCACCCTGGCTGTGGCACAGGAAAACGGTGGCAAAAGATCTTTGGAAGCCGAATCGGTGATTGTCAGACTTTTTTTTTTTTTTGGCTGCATCAGCATGTGGGATCTTAGTTCCCCACGAGGGATCAAACCCGCGTTCCCTGCATTGGAAGCGCAGAGTCTTAACCACTGGACCTTTTTTTTTTTTCTTTTTTTTAACTTTTCAGCAAACCACCCTAGCGCCCTGGTTCTGCCTCGAGTGCACAGGTAGATAAAAGCGGGCCAGGTGCCCTGGGTTAGTGTCTGCGGCACCTGCTCTGCTGTCAGCACTCACGTCGGTGATGGTGTTGAGGGCGGTGTCTGCCCCGATGCTGAAATCGGAGCCGGGCACGTTGTTGGAGACGGTGGCGGGAACCATGACCATGGGGACGCAGAACTCCTTGTGCTTCTCCCGGGCGGCCGACAGCTCCAACAGTCCCAGGTAGGCCTGCAGGTGGGTGTGGGTGGTTGTGGGGATGGGACAGGGGTGGGGAGGGAAATGCATCGCTATCACGGGCAGCACTGCACCCAAGGTGAGGCTGCGGGCATCGTCCCGTCGGGGTGAGACTAAGCCGCTCGTGGGTGAGAGTCTGTTTGAGGTTCTCACATTTTCTTTAAAGGAAACAGAAAGGTCATCATGGGACTGATCTTGGCTGAATATCAAAAATGAAGGTGGACAGTCCAACATGTAGTTAAAACATAATGATCTGGCCCCATCACTGCCCTCCTCTCCGAATAGCCAATGGGCTTCCAGTTCAAGAGAGAAGGTCATCTCTACAGACTCGACAGAGGTGAGAACTCCCTGAGCGGACAGACCCCAGACATGGAGTCGAGCTTTCGCTTCTCGATCGAGTCCCTTTACATAGCTGGGCCAGTGTCTGTCCCCGAGTGCTGCCACCCCTCATTCTCTGCATCACCATTACTGAGTGGCCACTGGGCCCGAGGCTGCATGACCCCCGGTCACACCGAGGGACAGACGGCACAATGCTTACAGGAGCCGGCACGGGGTCCCCATTCAAACCAACAGCGCTAGCCAGCCAGCAGGGGAGCAGAACGTACCTCGAATCCACCGATGATCAAGAGCGCGTTGATGCCATGGGTGTGCATCTGAGCAGCGATGTCCTCCAGGTACTTCCCGGGGAGGGTGCTGGGGACGGTTCAAGGGAGGGGCGGTCAGGCAGGACCCCCTTGGTGCCCCACCCTCCGAGGCTGAGCTGCACGGCACCAAGCGACAGGGGGATGTCCGCTCCCTCGTCCACGCTGCTGGTGGACAGAGGGGCTGGGGAACCACACGCGGCAGAGCGGCCAGCAGTCAGGTCTCAAAAGAGGGTCTTTTCAAAAGAAAAGGGGAAGAAACTTTGCAGCTGTCCAACACCTGGATCTCAAAGAACCCTGCTGCCTGGTTAGGAAAAAAAATGAACCACAAAAGCGTTCAAGTGTTCACAACGATAATTGGATGGAAACTTCCAGTTTTTGAGTCACGTACAGAGTACGTGTACCTTACCCCATCTAAGCTCATTTAAAGTCACCTCCACGCACACCTGCTCATGTCGTCGTGTTTTACCACCTGTTCAAACACGGCCGGCAAGTGGAAGAGACAAACGATAGTCAGCCATGCCCCATCCTGAGACCAGCACCCACCCCGATCTTTCCCTTGTGCTGTCTGGAGAATCAGGGGTTTATACTTGGGGTGGATGTAGAGAAGTCATAGGGCCTGGGTGGCCAGGGCACATGAGTGGTCATGATGTCGACTACAGGGTCCCTCCCAGCATCCGAGTATCGTGAGAATACGCTGCCAGCTGGCCCCTCCAGCCACCCCAGAGCAGCCCCGGGGTGGGGCTCGTGAAGCCGACTATGCTGAGGCATTACAGTTGGTCGGAAGGGGCCTAGGAGGCAGCCGATAGGGCCCTGGCTCTTAACTGGAGCTCTGCTGTCAGAACACCATCCCCCGAGGGCGCTGGGGGGTGACGGGACCAAAAGAGCTTTGGAGAACTAGGCCAGCTCCACAGATTCCTGGGTGACGCGGGCACCCAGCTTCACAGCAGGACAGAGGCTGGGACGATTCCCCTGGACAACAAACAGGCTAACACTCATATGGAGTGCAACACTCGTTAGGCTTAAGTACCAACTACTTCCTTTCCTCATTAAAATGTGCCACATAGCGATGGCTGCACCCTGAGATCAGAGAAGAAACAGCTTCGTATTATATCAGCGCCTCGGGAACACACCCCATCCCCGGCTGTGCCCGAGAACAGAAGCGGCTGCACTTCAGAAACGTGTGGTTCTGTGTGGAGCCCCCCAGGTCCTCCCTCCGGCTGTGGGGACCTGGCGGCTCAGGCCTGCAGTCCCCACGACACTGAGCCACCATCAATCCTGTCTACACAGCAAGGTCACCGCAGCTCAGACATCCCTGTCTGCATCACCTCAAGCGAGATGAGGGGTTTCTGCCACCACTGGGTTCTTCCAATCAATGGAAACAAGGAATTATCAGAGGAAGCCATTCCCAGGTCCCCTGCTTTGTCTCTTTTTCAGGCCACATCTCATCAACTCCCCATAACACAACCCAGGTCCCTCCCGGACCGGAGCCAGGACGTGAACCAATTCTTCCTGGGTTCCTTTATGGGAACTTAAAGCAGCAGCATCTGTACCAGCTGCTCCCCGCAAGAACGCTCAGGTCAGAACCAAGACAGGAGAAGTACCGTTTTGTCCCAAGAATGGAGCCGCCTTGGCCGGTCCAGCCGCCGACATCTGCCCAGCCAATTTCCTTTACCTAATGTGCAAACAGAAAGAAACAGCTGTGGCGAAAAAGAAAAAGGAATTAGAGGGCTTTAAAAATAGCTCAGATGTCTGCACCTCTGACAGGCTTCGTGTCTGTAAGGATTTGAGAAATGTTAGGAAACGGCTTTCATTTCAAGGCTGAATGAGCTGCAGCCTGAACCAGATTCTAAGGCTCAACAATTAGGAACATGGACAGGCAAAGCCCCCTGCATGTAGGAAGGACCCTGCATCTTATTCCCCGCCATGCCTATCAGAGGCATGCTTTAGTTAGCCAAATCCCACCATTGGAAGTAAAAGAAAAATTAATATTACAGTTTTCTTAATTAAACTAAGATTTAAAAAATGCTCCTTAAAAATTGAGAACCACCTACGAGCACCAATAAATGCCCACTAGGTGTTTGCACAACACCCCACAGCCATAACAGCAAAATGCTTTCCTTCCCCCCCCCCACACACACACTCGGGGCAGCCACAGTTTGGAATATCACCGGCCTCCAAACACGCATCTTCGCCCAGGTCTCCTGAAGGCCCTGCACGGGGTGCCACCTGCTCACTGGGCACCTCCCACTCCATCCAAGTCCCAGCGCCTCTCAGATCTCCCATGTCCATCAGTTGCAACTCATTCCTGCCTCCTTTCTTCACACCTGTGCATACTTAGTACTAGAGCAAATCCTATTGGCCAGGCCTTCAAAATGCACCCAGACCATGGAAGACTTCCCACGGACTCCGCCGGCACCAGATTGGACCAAGCCGCCTGCATCCTGCCTGGGCTACTGCAGGTAGTCCCCCAAGTACTCTCCTGCTTCCCTACCCCTGCCTCTTACGGAAACCTGTCAGAATGCACCACGCCCCTGCTTCAAACCCTCCTATCTTTTCAAAGCGAAGGCCAGACCCCTTAGGATCACCTACAAACCATCCGGCCCTCTCCTCCTTTTCCCTCACCCCCTTCCTCCTTCCCCCTCGCAGTCACGTGAGCCCCTCCCACCCCACCCCCCAACAGCTCAGGGCCTTTGCACCGCCCGCCCTGCCTGGGACCAAGATCCGGTGTCCCCGAAGGCACTTGCTCAGCCCTTCACACGTTGGTCTGGGGTCACCTCCCAGCATCACTGGCTGGAGGGCCTCAGTGAAGATGCCCATGGCACTCCAACCTCCTCCCCTGCGTTTTTTTAGCCCCAGTCACGTTCTGATATGCTGGAGAGTTCACTCCACTGATTTTTACCTCTGTCATCTCCCTCCCTGAGTTGCAGCGAGTCTTGTCTGCGTTCTTCACCAATTCGGTTCCACAGCCTAAGAACTCAGTAAGTAGCTGCTGAGTCACTGGGTGAATAAACACAGCTGCCCCCTTATCTGCAGGGAGTATGTTCCAAGACCCCCAGCGATGCTGGAACCCTACATATCCATCTTTCCCTATATATACATGCCTAGGATAAAATTTAATTTATAAATAGGTGCAGTAAGAGAATATCCCAATTGCCAGCATCACCCGTCTTGCACTTTGGGGACATTATTAAGTAAAGTAAGGATCACCTGAACTTAAGCACTGCCATACCATGAGGGTTGATCTGATCACCAAGTGACTAAACGGGCAGATACCCTGGACGAGAGGATGATTCATGTCCCGGGAGGACAGAGCTGACAGTTGGAGATTTCATCACGCTACTCACAACGACACGTAATTTAAAACTTACATACTGTCTATTCTGGAATTTTCCATTTAATATTCCTGGACCACAGGTAACAAACCGCAGAACTGAAACCTCAGATGAGAGGGAACCAGGAAACACCTGGCTAAGAGCGTAGCGTCTGTAGCCTCACCACGTGTTTAGCACCCTGCATCCTATGACCTTAGTCTTGTGAATTAAGTCTCGGTGCCCCAGCTTTCTCATTAGGAAAATGGGGTAATATCTTAGATTTTTGAGAGATTTAAATGGGTTAACATAGTAAGTAAATCGCGGAGGAGCAGTAAGTGTATTCAGCAAGCACTCAAGCAGCTAATCTTTTCCCTAGGTTTTTATCGGAGTGGGTGCTCAGTGCGCTGGCCTTGTGCATCACCCACGGCATCCCATGCACACCTCACTGCAGCCTCGGCGCACGTGCTCCCCTTTCCACCTAATGCCCAGGTCCTCGGACCCCAGAGAGGCCCTCCCTACCACCTTTGAGAAATCCGGAATCTGCCTTCTCACAAGGACCTCCCTCGCCAGGCGCCCCCGGGACTCACCTGGCCTTTGGCGAAGCCCTCAAAGCCGTCGTACACAGCGAACACCTTGTGTCCGTCGGCGATGCCCACGCGCACGGCCGCGCGCACAGCCGCGTTCATGCCGGCGGCGGGCGCACCCACGTTCACGATGCCCACATTGCAGTTGCTCTGTAAGTCGGAGGGGGGACGTGTGGGTGTGTGTGGGTCGCAGCAGATATGGCTCGCATCGCTGCACCCTGGAGCCGGAGCGTATGGGCTGAGCGCGGGGCCCAGGCGCCGGAACTGAAATGCCTAATCGCCCAGGTGGGAGGGGGCAGGAGGAAAGGGTCGGCGGGGCACGGTGCGGTCTCCTGGGAGCCAAGACCCGAACTGGCCAGGGCAGAAGGACACCCAGGCATTGCCGGAGGCGGGGACATGGCGTAGCGCAGCGTTTCCTACCTTACGGATCTGGGAGTCTGGCAGCTTGATGGCGAGCCGCTTGTAGGTGTTCAGGTTGTTCTCAAAGCTCCTAGAAGAAAAGGACGGTGTCAGACCAAAGGTTAGAATGTAGACGGAGCAGTATGGGCTCATCTGGGGAGAAGGGGCCTCAGAGGATGCTTGTGCCGGAGGCAGATGGCCCGCAGGTGCCAGCTTTGTGTCCAGGCTCTCAGGGAAGGCAGCCTCAGGTGTTCCCAGTGACTGGAATGGATGTACTATAAGAGGCTGAGGGGCAGGGGCGTTTAGGATGCAGCAAGTTTCTTTCCCCAAATGCTAGCAGCCACATGCCACTCTCTATCCTAATTTCATCAGCTTCTAAACGACCCCCACCCCCGCCAAAAAATAAATTTCTCTGTAATTAGTCACCCGGGCCATCGACCTTTAGGAACAGTGCCTTGACTACATACTGTCTTAATTTCTGACTTCTTATGTTGATACAGAACAAGCACCGCCTGGAGGCACATTCTAACACCAGGCCTGCCGAACAAAGGCTCCCAGTAAAACAGGTTTTTTCCGGAAGACCCACCTTCCTCGGAGTTGCACAGCGTCCTTAAATCTCCTCTCATCCATCGCCTTTTGTACTTCCTGGGTCTTTAAGGAATTAACGAAAGGAAGAAAGAACATGTCAAGACGGTGCATCCTCAGATCCAGGCTAGGTACCTGGAACCAGCTTGGTCCTTGCATCCGGGTCCCTTCATGTCCAACCTTGTAGCCAGCAGCCTGGGGTCAGCGAGCCTGCACTGCCTGGCTACGGGGCGGGGGGAAGCCTAGGCCGCCCACCCAGGCTGCTTCGCAGAAAAGGACGAGGTGGGACCACCGGCCTTGCCAGAGTAAGAGAGGCCTGAAATCTTAGGGATTCCGGCCCATGAGAGCGAGGCCAGAAGGAAGCGGATCTCCCAGGCCAGGCTCTGAAAAATCCCCATTTGACGCTGGTGAGGAAAGAACGAACAGAACCACCCCTGTCCCTGGGGAGCGGAGGACGCAGGTGATGCTGTGGCAGGGGCGGGGGGCCGACTGTCCCGGGGAGCAGAGCGCTTTGGGACCAGCACCGCCCCCCACCACCACCTTCAACCTCAGGATCCCAGGCAAGTCATCCATCACTCTGAGCTCCAGTTCCCTCCTCTGTGTGGTGAGAAAAATGCCCCTACTTCCACTGTCATCGTGGTGGTGAGCGCTGCCAGGCCCGTAGGAAGACACCTGGCAAGCAGTGGCCAGTGAACAGTATGGCTGAGGCGCCACGACGTATGGTCGTTCAAGGACAAGCTAGTGGTACCTACTGGCTGTCTGTCTCAAAACGGACAGAGAGACACTGGACAGAAGAAATGTGCTCACGATAAGCTGCTGCTCATCATTCCACATTCTGTTCTTTTGAGCCACAGCCTCAGAGTCCACACACGTGCACACACCCTCATACACACATGCACACACACGCACAGACTTCCTTTACTGCCATCGGCTTTTGGAAAGTATGTTTCTGAGGGGTTACTTTCAACAAGTCCTGTGACTTAATTACTTAATTACCTCTCTGTACATGTTATAAGATACATACACCTCAGAGCCACTGGGAAGACCAAATAAAATGAGAGTCGTGAATAGACTTTGCAAAATAAAAAACAGTAACAACTCCTAACGCAACTCCACGGCCGCTGCAGCTACTGGACGGTCAACTGGAAAACCATCCCCCGCTTCTGTGCAGCCACTGGCCTGCGCTCCACACCCGGAGGAGGCGGCGCACGTTGGGGTCCCCCGAGTCGGCCATCCCTGTCACATCACAGGTGTGAGGGCCTCGGGGACGGGAGGGCGGGAGCAGCTGACCCTGGAGAGGCTGGATGGTGCCCTCCCCACCCCGAGAATGTCCCCGCGGTCCCTGCAGAGCCATCTCCGGCCTCTCTGACCTACCCACAGGAAGCGCCCGGGCACCCTGAGGACACCCCCTCCCGACAGACTAGACTTGCGGAGGGGGCCCGCGTGCTTGGTGTGACGGGCCCGGGGAGGGGCCCTGGGTCCCGGGGAAGGCCTTCCGCCTGTGCTGGGGGAGGCGCCCGCTCCCGGTCCGCCCTGTGCCGGGCACGGCGCAGCCCTGCGCTCACCATCTGCACGCATTCCATCAGTGGCAGCCGCACCGCCTGGTTCCCGCTCAGCGACACCACGCAGGCCGGCGTCTCGGGGGTGGCCTGGAGGAGGGCGACCACGGCCTCCACCCCCATGCGGCTGGCCTGGTAAGGACATCACGATGGTTGGAGCTAGCCCCGGGCCCGCCCGGAGACCAGCCCGGCACCCACAGAGGCTCCCCTGGTCCAGACGGGACCAGCCCTGTTCTCAGCTCCTCCGTCCTCAAGGCCCCCTCGCTTTTCCTGCACCAAGTCCCCATCCTCAAGGCCCCCTCGCTTTTCCTGCACCGAGTCCCCGTTAGTTACTCAGAGCCCTTCCCGATTACTTTTAACCAGCTCCAACAACGAGATCAACTCCGCTAGGAACCGGCGTGCTGAGGGGTGGGGTGGTCAGGGGCGTGCGGAGCAGGAAACCGAGAATTGGACTCTGGGTCTCTGTGGTCCCTGGGTCCATTTCTAGAAACCTGCCCGTGGACACCCCGTTTCCACCTTCTGGGTTTGTCCCCCACATTTGGCAGGGTCTCTCAGTGTCTGGGTCACCAGGGGCCTAGGAACCCCCCTCGGTTAGCAGGTCTCCCTATGAGACTACGGGCCGTAGCATCCTAGGGACAAGCCACCTGGCGCTGTGGGCAGAGATGCCCTTTACCGATGGCTCTACTCAAGATCACCCAGTCTTCGTAGCAGACTGGTCCCTTTGCAATCCCAGAGGTGTTCCTTTCCTTGTGACGATGCCTGACCATTTCCAGCCTCACTTACCAAAATCCTGTCAAAGGCTGAAGGCGTCCCACCTCTCTGCACGTGTCCAAGGATGGTCACCCGAGTGTCATAACCCAGCTGTGTGACCACGAGCTGAGGGGAAACACAGGACATGGCCGGGCACATCAGCTTGTTCTAGGGCTGGGGGCTGGGAGCAGGGGAAGGTCTCTCTCCCCTTCCTACACATCTCTGTTGAAGAATGTTCTAGTTTCTAAATTTCATTTCCTGAAAGAATGTTTAACGGCTTGCTGAAGTTAATATTTTTTAAAGAATACTTTTATCATCAAATAAAACCTTTGTGCTCCTACCTCGCAAGTGAACATAAGTAACACAATTTTAAAAAACACTGTTTCTATAGCTTGTATTTCAAGCATATACTTTGTAAATATCTAAACATTTCCCTGAAATCACCTTGAATTTGTAAGGTTGTATTTGAAAAGCATGACACAGTAAAATCAAAGCGTCCCCTCAGTCCAGGGCCCAGGTGAACCCAGCCAGTGGCCAGGACAGGTTACCTGCCTTGACTGGCCCTCATTTACTTTATAAAAATGATGGGGCTGGGTCACAGGAATTCCATGGTCCCTTTTGGCTCTAATATTCCACAATCCAATCTCAACTTCAGTTAAGTGGGAAGGAGTATCTTTGCCCTGACTGTATTGATTACTTCTATAAATACTAGCAGATGACTTTCACAGATATTTTGATAATCAGGTGAAAAGCTGGTCAGGGAATACGTGAAAGGCATCAGAGAAACCAACTTGCAAAGCCAAGGTGATGATGTCCTTTGCCCTGACGGGAGGCTTCCACCAGAGCCTGAGTCTGTCTCCCCAGCACTGTGTCCAGAACCTGCCCAGTTACCTGGGCAACCGGGGAGCACAGCAGATCCCTCCTGGGCCAGACAAGCCAGCACCCGCCGACCAAGCCCAACAGGACTCGGGCAACAGGATTGCGGGGTCGGCCTCCATGCAGGGCGGAGGAGCAGTGACTAAGGCCAGCCGAGCGGCTTTCTCTGTGAATAAGGCCATGCTCAGCTGACGCTCCGGTGGGAGAGGGAACTCTGCTGACCTCCTAGCTCCTGGGCAGCCGCCACCCAGAGCTGGAACCTTCTAAGCCCACCCGATTGCATTTCCTCTGTCTCTGTCGGGGGAGCCCGGGGCCTCTGGGAATATTCCCAACAGTATTCCAGAGGCAGGGGCTCACCAGAAGCCAGGAGCTGTATGATTCTGATGCCAATAAAGTTATGAGTCATTACGAAAATATTTTTAATGAACAAGAAGAACAAAAAAACTTTAAATAATAGCGCATGGTTCCAGACTCCCGCCCTGCCCGGGGTGTCTAAATCTCCCGTTTCTAGACAGGCTCGGGGGTGAGAAGCCTGAGACACTCACCTCCTTGATTTGCTCAGAGGTGATGGCTTTGTTTTGGGTGTCAATGGCTCCTTCAGCCACAATGATGATGTTCAGTCTTTTTTTCCGGGCACGGTTCTAAGGAAACAAAAGATGAAATCCTCAAATGCCTAAACCATTCTTAACGACACAACAGGGGCCTCTGCCCCACCTGAACTGGCCTCTCTCCAGGGAGAAACGGTCACCTGATTTCATAGGTGGTTCTTAAGGACACAGGCAGGTCAAGGTACCCTAGGTAAGCAGGTGGGACAGGACTGCAGACGCAGAAGCTGCTGTGACATCACCACAGGCGGAGGCCGGCCCCCGCTGCCTTTGACCCCGACCCCCGGATGGTGATGAGCTCCGAGGCTGGGCTCTCTGGGGAGGGGGCTCTCTACTGCAAACCAGGCCCGAGAACTCCCCCGGAAGGCAGAGCTTCCTGCCACCTCACCTCAAGGAGGTTTGCACGTAAGACCATACAGTTACAGAAATAATGGAGAATAAAAATCAGTGCTTAGAGCTTCCCTAGTGGCGCACTGGTTAAGAATCTGCCTGCCAATGCAGGGGACACGGGTTCGAGCCCTGGTCTGGGAAGATCCCACATGCCGCGGAGCAACTAAGCTTGTGAGCCACAACTACTGAGCCTGCGTGTCTGGAGCCTGTGCTCCATAACAGGAGAGGCCGTGACAGTGAGAGGCCCGCGCACCGTGATGAAGAGTGGCCTCCACTCGCCGCAACTGGAGAAAGCCCTCCCACAGAAACAAAGACCCAACACAGCCAAAAATAAATAAATACATTTATTAAAAAAAAAAAAAATCAGTGCTTAAAAACTGATTTTCACCTTTGTGATGGGCAGCGCCAGCCCCAGGCCTGGGCAGGAGGGGCACAGAGGGGAATGTGGGCCCAGGCGGGGTCGGAGCCGCCCCGCAGGAACAGCCAGGCTGGCCGCATCCAACACTGGGGTCCGCGGTGCTCCCAGGCTCACGGCCAGCATTCTATGATGCCCCAAATCACTCTCAGTGAGTCTGTTCTCCCTCAAGTCCCCAGTCAAGGACCCTCCTCTGGGGGGGTGTGAGCTGTGTGGGGCAGTGAGCCCAGAGTGGGCAGCACCTGTGCATGTCAGCCAAGAGGGCTCGGCCAGTCCTGCATCACAAACACACATGCTGTCTTGTTGGTTTATGACAGATATTAAATTTGCTACTTTTTTTTTTTTTTTATTGGCCACACCGCGTGGCACGCAGGATCTTAGTTCCCCAACCAGGGATCAAACCAGTGCCCCCTGCAGTGAAAGGTCAGAGTCTTAACCACTAGACCACCAGGGAAGTCCCAAAATGTGCTACACTTTGAAGAACTTATTAATCAGAGTACTTTCTAAAAGGTATAAAGATACGACAACAAGAATGATTATTTTAGCATCACTTGAAAGAGCAAAAATGGAAGTAATGACTGGTCCACAAATATGGAATTGGCCAAATAGCCATACTTCATCCATACAATACAATATTCCAAAGTGGCTAAAAAAACATAATGGGGTCGGGGTCATCCCTGGTGGCACAGTGGTTAAGAATCCGCCTGCCAATGCAGGGGACGTGGGTGCAAGCCCTGGTCCAGGAAGTTCCCACATGCCGCGGAGCAACTAAGCCCGTGCGCCACAACTACTGAGCCTGTACTCTAGAGCCCGCGAGCCACAACTACTGAAGCCCATGAGCCACAACTACTGAAGCCCATGAGCTACAACTACTGAAGCCCGCACGCCTAGAGCCCATGCTCCGCAACAAGAGAAGCCACCGCAATGAGAAGCCCGCACACCGCAACGAAGAGTAGCCCCTGCTCGCTGCAACTAGAGGAAGCCCTGGCATAGCAACGAAGACCCAACGCAGCCAAAGATAAATAAATAAACTTATAAAAAAATAATGGGGTCACCTATCCACTCAGGTGGGAAGACAGCCAGCTGGTCTGCGTAGTTCATTGACTGCCTCCCGGTCCCCCACCCGGATGGAGTCACTCATTCACTGAATCCTCACAAAATCTCTAATGAGCAGCAGCATGACCCCGAGTTACAGCTGAGGAACTTAGGACATGAAGGGGAGGTCGTCTGACCAAACATCATTTGCTCCGTGGTTGGCAGAGCCAGGATCCACCCCTGGGACTTCTGATACCCCTGAGTCCTTTCCAACTTTATACCGAAATGCCCATGATTGGGGGATGCTCTGGGGCTTGCTTCCTGGGCCAATTATCTGGTAAGGTGTTTAGAGAAACTCTCACAGTGCTACACTGATAACCAATAAAAATTAATGACAGGCACTACAATATTGAGTGTTTCCACCCAAGTGAGCTTAAGCCATTAGTCCTAACTCTGCCAACGCTTAAGGGGGAATCCCAACACGTCCTAGCTGACAGGGCACTTTACAATGTCCGAATCTCAAGGAGGTTTGCAGATCAGACCACACAGTTACAGAAATTATGGAGAAACCTAAAAATCAGCCCCACGGCCTCACTGCTGATCTTCTGACCAGCCAGGCGCTTCCTCACAGCCAGGGTGCTTCCAGCTCTCTAAGGGCATTAGACCTTGGCCTGTGTAGTGTCACTGTCAACGAGGGCAGGGATTTGGGATGAGAAGGGACAGATGCAGGGACAGGCACGTCCCTCAAGTAATGCCCCGTGGAATGGCAATCAAGTGGATGTCCTCAGCGCCACGATGAAGGACCTGCCTAACAGGAGGGCCAGTGCTTGACTCCTGCAACCAGCCACGTACCTTCCCACACCAGCTGGCCGGCACAGCATGCCGCGCAGGTCCCCAGGTCAGAACCAAGAGATAATGAACTCGTTTGTTACTTCAATGGTCATAGTCATCCCTGGGACGTGCCCCTGGCCTGCTGCAGCCGAGAGCTCCAGCCTCAAAAGGGTGCATAATTCTTCCTAGTAAAAGGACAGCTTTACCAACAGTTTCTTACAGAGGTTCTGGGTCAGCAAAGCTTATTTGAGTTGTTGCTGGAACTCCTTTCTTGGAACCCATCACTTTGAAGGCAGTGGCCGTATCTTATGAAACGTGGGTCCTGGCTGTATGCAATGCTTACGTGTTTGCTGAATGCAATGGTAATTATCCTCTGCCATGCGTTTACTTTATCGCCTACGGAACAGCGATAAGATGGCTATGGAAATAAGAGAAGGGAAATTCAATACGCATTGGGATTTCTGTCCCGAATGCTAACCGTTGTTTTCTACGAGGCCCCGCGTGCCTTAGTTAGAAGCCTTAACTAGAGGAAATCTGCCCGACACTGATAATCCACGGGGTGAAACACAAGCCCAACCCGCAGACAGAAGGAAGGAAAAGCCTGGCTCAGAGGAGACAGCAGGCCAACCCACAGCAAGGCCAGCACGGTGGGGACCCCACAGCGGAAGGAGCTGTCACCATATGTGCCACACGGCAAGATGGGGGATTCGGATGGAGTCAACACACAGGTCTCCTGTCCCTGTTACGTGGGGTCAGGGAGGCACCATGTTCCCCAGACCCTGGACTCTCACATCACCTCCTCTGTTTACGGTTGTAGCTGCTGCTTTGCACAAGAAACACAAAAGCTTCAGCTGTTTTCCCTCGAATCACTCTTTACAACAGTGGGAGGTGGATGGACGCGTGAGGGGTCGAAGCCCCCAGCAACCAGCCTGAAGCCACTTTGAGCAGAAAGCTGTCACCTGTCTAAAACTCTGTCCAAACTGAACATGCTAACGGCCACCGCAAATCACGGCTGGGGCAGCGCAACCAGAATTGCTGGCAGTTAAGAGAGGTGAAATGTGGGTTTACCTCTGAGAGTTTGATGCACATGTTTTCCTGCCAACCTTCTTCTGGTGGAGACTCTGGAAGGAACACCCAGTCGGCCCCGCAGGCCAACGCACTCACCAGGGCCAGGTACCTGCACGGAGACAGCAATGACCTCGTGGGGCTGCTCAGGGCACCCTGAGCTCAGGGCCGGCCCCGGCAGACAGGACGCCGCTGGCTCCTCGGGAACCCTTCCTGGCACCTTCGTGCTAGGGTGCGGGGCCCCGCAGGGACTGTGCTATCGGTCCTCTCCATCCCAGTCGCATCCGCACGTACGTACCCGCAGTGCCTCCCCATGACTTCCAGGACGAAGGTCCTCTGGTGGCTGGAAAAGAGATAAAGGAAACATCCACTTAGCACCACCGGGAAAGCAAACAGAAACGCCTGATTTGTGTTTCCAGCAGGTACCTGAGCTGCCCCGCAAATGACCCACTTTCTACACAAGCAAATGCTATTGTGAGTGTGTTTCAAGCTCTTTCCAGCAAAGGGGCTGCAGCAGCAAGAAGCACCTCCCGGTTGTGTTTTATAGCAGGTGTGCTTGTGCCAGACACGCTCACGCTACCAGGACACGTGTGTGCTCGTCCCAAGACAACGGCTCTGCTGGGCAGCGTCAGCTGCTTCTCGGGCCACAACCGTGGGTTGGAGACCGCCCGCAGCAAGGCAGGACACGACAGTCACAGAGTCAGGTCCACACCCGGGGACCACAGCCTTTCCACAAACGGGAAACTAACCGTCACCAGTGACCCTGGGAACCCGAAGGGGACATGGTTTGCCACCGGTCGCAGTTCCACTGGGCGTGGCCCTGAGACAGTGGCAAGTGCCTCATCCACGAAATGGAGGCACGTGTTCCATTTTCTTTCTCACGTGGCTTTCGTGAAAGTGCTTCGGAAACCCAAGGGCTCCACAGAAGGCATTATGGTAAAGGTTCTGCCGTGAGTCTACAGCACAGGGACAGAAGGTCTCTGCCTCATCTACATGCTCGGAAACCCACAGGTGAGAAGTGGAATAGGTGGGATGCTCGCCCAGCTCTGATGACAGCTGTGCAAACTCGGGGCTTTACTTTCTGTGATTCCTGCGGGAGAGCTTTGGGTGGGACTTTATGTACTGCTTTGTCTTTTTCTTTTTTCTAAATTCTCTCCAATGAACACTTTTTTCTTTTACAATTGGGAAGCAGTGACTTTTGAAAATTGAAAATAAAAAGTAAACCAATACAAAATTGTTTCTAATATCAAGTGACAAGGCTTGTGGAACCTTCCAGAGCGGGCACTGAGGTCTCCGCAGCCCATGTCTCAAGCCCAGGGCCGCCTGCCCGCCCGCCCACCGGGTCCCCATGGCCACCACCTCTGGGCAGTCGTCATGATGGCGTCCACCACCTCGATGATGCGGTGCAGGGCAGAGTCCGTGCCGATGGTCATGTCGGTGCCGCAGAAGTCGTTGTCGATGGAGCCCACCATCCCCACCACGTTGAGGTACCCGTGCTTCTGCACCTCCTCTGTGTTGATCTTGCCTGTGGAGGGACAAGCCGCATGCCCAGGATGACACGGGGAGGGGGGAGTGCACGCTTCGACATGGGTTTCCTACCCACTGCATCAGATCTGTACGCGACCTGATCCTGCATACTGACGGAGAGAAAAGCCGCACAAAGGTGGAGCTGGGGACAAGATAGGAGCAGTCATTTGACACCCAGACAAGAACACCGACCCAGGTGTAAAAATTAAAGGAAGGAAGGATTGCACGCTGCAATCGGTGGATACAATTTGACTTCTGTCTGGCAACGGCCTTGGAAAACGGCCTGGCTCCGAATAAGACACGTCACCACCCCAGATCTAAGTCTGAAAGAATATTGTACAACTGGTATATTGACTCCTTACAGGCCCATGGGGGCTAATTAGTTGCTAGAGATCTACTTAGCGCTCTCAGGAAAGACCACCGGGGATGGTAGAGCTGCTGAAATGGGACCAGAAAGGTCAAGGTCAAGGGGGAGGCAGCTATCCCTCTCCTGAGTTACCACCCCAGGCGCCTGCCTTACACCAGAGCACGGTGCAGAGACATCGTTAGGTCCTTTGCTGCTGGCGTCTGACAGCCCCTCTCCATTCCCCAAACAGATGTCACAGAACTTGGGGTCATCGCTTTAGCGCAAGTTTACGCTTTTCATAAGGTTGCTATTAGTTCAATTTGCTTCCACTGGCCATATTTTATATTAAAGTTGAATTTTGTAACAACATGTTTAAAAGACAAAAACCACAGAATATATAGGTTTCTTGAAAATCCCTTCTTATGATAAAGGACCATCCAGCAGCAGGTCGTTACCATCTAAATTCAAGTCTTGTAACAACTGATAGAAAGACCCCAGGGGAGCTGGGGGCGGGCAGCCATGGGCGTCTGAGGACAGGTGTGAGCCAGAGCCACACACATGGCTGTTTGGCTTCGCCTCGAGCCCCTGACCCTCCTCTGTAAAGTGGGGATCGATACAAACCCTCTCAGATGGTGGTCACGAGCAGTGCACAAAACCGACTATGTCAAAAGTGGAGCCATGCCTGGCACGTAGGATGGTGGAATGAATGTTATTCTTATTATCGTTACTGTCATTATTTGAGGCACGAATATAAGTGCTGAGGTGGCGACTGTAAGATCTGCATCGCCACCAGCAGCAAATACCTCTGGGACAGTTAAGCAGGCAGAATGTATGAACTCAAAGCTCTCTGAGGGGATGGGGAGGCGAATGGGGGAGACAGAGCCCCACGAGAGTAATGTGCGTGGAGACAGAGACACACCCTCCCGGGCCAGCTCCTCCAGCAGCCCACTCCACTCCTTCCGGAAGATATTGGCCCCGGTGAGACTCCCGTCCCCGCCGATCACACACAGGTTGGTGATGCCCAGCTGAAGCAAGTTATGAGCAGCCTTCAAGCGGCCTTCCCGAGAACGGAAGTCCTTGCAACGGGCGCTGCCAATAATGGTCCCTCCCTGGAAAAGAAAGAAAACCGTGTTTATCTATTTCCTCCCATTTGGACAGAAAGATGGACAGATTGGTGCATGGGAGTGCTGATGTAAAACCACAGGACTTTCAAAGTGTAGGTTTCCTTCCTTTTCATCTTTTGAATCGATCAACTGTGAAAGTTTAAAGTTTTCCCATTTTTAGCTCTACCCCAGAATTCAGTGGCTAAAGACGCTGCATCATTCCCAAGGGGAACAGAGTAGGGGACGGAAACAAGGATGAACGGCAGCCATCAGCTAAATGCGTGGAGCAGAAGAGTCTGCAAGGTAACAGTAGCTGTCCCGTGGGGAAGCTGCACCAGCACAGGGAGGGCTGGACCCCGCACACTCTCTGAGCCTAAGACGGGCCCAAGGCCGGTCAACAGCCACAGCCAGAGAAGCACTGTGTCCAGCGGACCCAGGTAATAAGACTCCCCTTCTGTTAGTCAGGGCTCCCCACAAGTGCCAGCAAAGTAGAAATCTGTGAGCCAAAGGGATTTATTTTTGCATGAGATCTGCCCCACCCCTCCCTGCCCACACCCCTTTTTCAAGCTTAAATCTTAGCTGGATTATCCAAACTTCTGGGAGAGAGAAATCATGATTTTTCATACTTTGTTTTTCAAAAGCAAAGGATCCCTAGTTGTATATAGAAAAATTCAGGATGCCTTTACACAAACCCTGCACACACTGATAAAACTTCAGTTTGTGCATGACCTTCCAAGTGCATGCCTGCTTCATAAAGCAAGGTGCCCATCAGCAGAAGTGATCCTGGGTTAATGATGACGGTCAGTGTGACAGGGGTGACGTCAGGACCTGGCACAGCACCAGGAAGCCTGGGGAGAAGATGCAGGGTGCAGAGCAAAGATAAGCCAGTCCTCTGGACTTTGATTTGACCAAGAGCGATTAGAGGGTCACATAATTTCTATCAACGGGAAGTCAGCAACCCATAAACATTGAGGAGATGACATGCACAGGGCCCCAGGAATGAAACCCAGGACCGAGTGGGTTGCAAAGAAGTGGACACCAGTCTCTCTTTCTTTCTCTCTCTGTCTCTCTCTCTACACACACACACACACACACACACACACACATACACACACACCAACCATACTTGTACTTTGTATCTTTCTTCACACTCACCATAGTAGAGTGGAAATGCTCTCCTCACACGTGGGTTTCCTGTCTGGAATTCAGATGACAATGTCCTGACTTTCTGCAAATATTACTCTACCTAAGTATCCATGGTTGTCCAACTTTCCTTCAGCCTCTTCCCAGGAGCAGTAGAGCAAAAAGCCTCAAGTGCAGACTTAAGAGTCTGTGGCCGGCATTTCAACTCACACCCCACTAGCAGCCGCCCCCCCCCCCCCCCCCCCCGCTTTACTGAGATGCAATTGACATACAACATTTGTAAGTTTAAGGTGCACACTGTGATGATTTGATACATGTATATATTGTGAAATGATGACCACCGTAAGATTAGTTAATACCTCTATCAATCCACATAGCTACCTTTCTGTGGCAAGAACCTTCAAATATATAATACAGCATGGTTATATTTCTAAAGGTATAGAACATGATAACTCAATATTGGTGCACATTGTGAAATGATCACCATGATCAAACTAATTAACACCTCCATCACCTCATCTGGTTACCTGTGTGTGTGTATGTGTGGTGAGAACATTAGTCTCTTAGCAACTTGCAAGTATATAATACGGTAGTGTTAACTACCGTCACCACGCTGTACATTAGATCCAGAACTTATTCATCTTATAACTGGAAGCTTATTTCCTTTGACCAGCACTTCTGCAACCCCCTCAGTCCCTGGCAACCACCATTCTACTCTGTTTCTCTTGAATTTGCCTTTTTTAGATCTATGTATCAGTGAGATCATGCAGGGTTTGTCTCTCTGTGTCTGGCTTGTTTCATGTAACATAATGTCCTCAATGTTGTCCTACATTGCTGGACTTCCTCTTTTATGGCCCAATAATATTCCATTTATATCTATATACCATATTTTTTCATCCCTTCTTCTGTTGCACTAGCACCTTCAGAGGGAATGGGACCGATCTCTTTTCTTTCAATTAAAAGAATACTCAACATGAGTCACACATGAATACATACATTTCAAAAGATCAAATCGCAAGAGCTTTTCATGAAATCCATTCCTTCCATGTAATCTCTTTATTTCTCAACTGACTTGGAGTCTTCACTAAGCTACATTGTTCCAGGAATTTATTACACATGAAATATTCAGGCAAGAGGTTCCTTTAAGTTCCACGTGAACAACTGTTTCGCCTGAAGCGGTGATTACTTCATCCTTGTGCACACTAAGGAAATCAGCCCTGTCTGGGTCAGGGCAGAACAGGGATGCTGTGTTCCCACTAAATCCACAGCCCCTGGAGGCTATCAGTCGGGATCTCTCCCATGCTTTGTTACACTGATGCCAAATGACTCCCAAAACCCAACAGGCAAGGAGATTTGCCACTAAACACACAGTACCAACAAACCAAAACTGCCTCAACGTTAATCTACTCTAAAAAAAGATACCAGATCTCCCGCTTCAAGTGCCACTAGCCATCACATGTAACTTTTTCTTGCAAGGATAATTCCTTAGTGTGCATGATGTAGAGCTTCTTAAAAAATTTAATTAAATGGCAAATTAAGAATGTTTTCTTTCCATGCGAGTAGATAAGAATGATGCCAGGCAGCACTTCAATCTGTTGTAGGTATTACTGGAGCATAAGCACAAGAGGTTTCAAACCGAAGAGTTAGAGAGAGAAGCAGGATGGAAGCTCAGCACGTACCACTTGCAGGATGCTGGAGACACTTTCCCAGTCAGCTTCCACAATGTTGCTGCCACCATCCACCATGCCCTGGTAACCCTGGGGGAGGGAAGGAACATCTTTTTAAGACTGGGTTCAACTGTGTTGAGACATTAATTGATCCATGAGTTACGGAAAATGGAAACTCCGATGACAATGAATCCAAATTCCTAAGAGCCCTATGGTGAGAGGACACCGTGTAACACTAGTGCTCCTTCCAAGCCGCACATTGTGGGAAAGCCTCTTAAGTTTCAACTCCAACACTGGGAATTTCCACCCAGACTCATCCAGAGTAGCACAGGGAGTCAGATAGTTTGCCTGGTGTCTACTGGCGCCTGCGAGATTGCAAAGGGACGTATTTACCCTAACACTGTTGGTGACTCAACACAAACTCACGGAGAGCAGTGGTGTCAATCACACCGCGTACAGGAAAGCACCTGCCGGGTAATCCGCGACTCTCCACACACGTGAAATAGGGTCTAAAAGCACAGCTGGATGTCACCCCAACCTCATCTGCCTTACCTTCCAACTAGTGCCAGTTTACTACACTGAGGGGAGACCCTGAGAGAATCTGGACGACGATGCACATTTGACCAGAGACAATTACATTTCAGCTCTAAATGCATCTCATTCTCCTCACAGACTGTCCAAGATCAAGAAGGATCCTGCGCCACAGCTAAGACTTGGCACGGCCAAATAAATAAATAAATACTTTTTAAAAAAAAAAAAGGAATGACAGAAATGTTCATTTGCATCTCTATCTATGTGACTCACCTTCCAGGGCATTTACCCCTGAAAAGGAATAGGCATTAGCCATTTAGAAAAGTTTATCATAACAGATTATTGTTGTGGGTTCCTATCTCCTGCCTAGTGAAAGTCAAGGGGGAAGGAAAAAAAGGAATATAGATTTTTAAAAATTAAACAGCCCATGGAGTATGGAGCAAAAATTAATCAACAGTGCAGCCACCTTTACGGGTGATCAATTTGCATATTTATAGGTGTAAAATTTCCAACAAAATATAATACATATTATGATATATGACATTATAATTCTTATGTATAACACTGTAATAAAACCTAACACTAGATTATAGACATATTATTTATATATTTCATATATAATATACACATATTATATATCATAAACTTTGTACATTCTATAAATGAACCTGCTCTCAGCTTCTCCCTTTTCTATTTGATTCCATGCTCTTTTCCTTTCCTAGCTGTCACATATTAACACAAGACTATACACACATGCACATATGTATTTATATATTGATACATTATATATAATAAATATCATTCATTATATACAGTATAATTATATTACACACATTATATTAATTACAATACAATACATATAATATCAATATTGTATAGAAATACATCTATACCCATGTGTGTGTGTACAGTCTAGTGCTACACATGTGACAGATGCTCCCTCGGCCTCAGGACAAGCTAGGACAGGGACTCCCACAGCCTGGCCTTCACGGAGAAGCAGTGGAACTTCCTCCAGACACACCTCGGTCCAACTCTAAGATCGCTTTTATCTTTTTGTCCCCATCTCCCTTCTTTCTGGAAACCGTAGACGGTGTACATTTTTAGCCTGTTCCATTTAAAGTACAGAGCCTGGTATGGCTGTTCCCATGGAGGGCAAGGGTGACAAGCGTGAGTGTGATGTGATCCAGCACCCCCATCCCCCCGAGAGGGAGCACTTATCAGAGGTGTTGTTTAAGTTGCATCCCGGCACATAAGCTACCTGGGACCGGCTGGCCCGCAGACCACCCTGCCGCTCCAGGAGTGGGAGCAAAACAAGGTCCTCTCCTCTTCTAAGTGGCCCCCAGGGAGCTTCTTTCCACAGAATATTAAAACTAGGTAGACAGACAGATGATAGGCAGCTAGACAGTGGCGGACAGATAACCGACAGTAGGTGACAGGTGACGCGGATCAGAGATACTGGCAGAGGATAGACGGGAGAGAGAGGGAGAATGTGGCCTTAGGGCTGCCCTTTCAACGACCTCTCCCTCCTCCAGACTCCCAGGCCTCTGGTGGGAATGACGCTCACCCTGCGTGCACAGGGCAACTGAACAAACCACAGTCAGTGGACTTTCGTTTCCAAGATGCCTGGGAGGCAGGGAAGGAGAAGGCGAGCAGCCCCGGGGCCTGGGGCCAAGTTTCAGACCTTCAGACCTTCGGTTGCTGTGCTGACGTGCACCCTGCGGGGAGGGGTGATGTTTAATCATCCAAACCCAAGTACTTCTGAGAATGAGAGGAAACTTGACGGTAATTCAGTCCAAACAGCCGGCACAAAACCAGACCGCCTCTGGCAGAGCAGGGTGGGGAACTGGGCTGACCCGAAGGCCTTGACAAGACAGACAGTGAAAATCTTCTAATGCCCTCACACTGATAGCCACCGGGGAGATTTCTGCACACTCAGCCCTAGGTAAATAAAGAGACTAGGGAACCAGTCCCCTAGTCTCTTACAAGGATGCTTACAAGGATGACGTCGACGTAGCCACAGGGTCAGGGACTGCCGTGGGGCCGTGTCAGCTGTGCAGGTGACAACAGCAACTTCTAGATGATTCCTGCAGCACCTGCTCCTTAGCCAAGCACCGGGACGGTTAGCTGCTTAATACCTGCCCTATGGGGAATGGAAACATTTCCTTTCCCTTGATTATTTCTGAGAATTTAAATACGGATCTAATGAAAAACATCTGCAAATCCCTTTGCTCCTACAGTGAGAACATGGCAAACCGCTCTCCAGACCGTAACGCTTATTCTGAGAAGGAAAATGTTCTCCAGAAAGAATCTGCTTATTTTGTGTAGCCTAAATACATGCAATAAAGAAAGCGACTAAGAAAGTGGATGATTTTGCGAGTGTTGCACTCAAAGCAGCTCTCTATTGTGCCCATGGGCCGGGTCATAGGAAATGACTCACTCACTCTGTAGTTTGTGAAGTTGTTAGGCCCATGGAACATCTGAATAACAACTACCAACTACAGTTTTAAGTTGTCTTTTGCTAACACAGAAGATGTTACTAAGTGAGGGAGACTAGTTTTACACGAATGTACCATGATTTATAAATTCAGAGGAGGTTTTGCAAGTCTCCTTAGAAGGTTGAACACTCGTTGTGACACAGCCAGAGCCCAAAATACTTTCTCAAATTCTGTTTCAGGATCCGCCTTCCGAGCCAGTTCTATGATTCACACAAGAAAGGCAAACCGTAAAACACTGGAAGCCACGCTTAGCTTTGGACCAAAAGTAACACTGTCTCGTTGGTCCTGGTTCATAAGGTGACCCCAGGAGACCCTCGGCTGGTTGTATCAAATCCAGCGCTGATCTGTCTAAGAACATGCCAGAGGCTCTGAAAACATCTTGACTTCTCGTCTGGGATTGTTTTGAGCAAAACAGGCACAGTCTCCCAAAGGATTATGTAGGAGGCGCTGCCACATGTAGGGGTATTTATAGGCATTTGTTAAATCTGTTCTAAATAGGGTAAGAGTCCACCTGAGGGTGGCTTTCGCTTATAAGAAATCGCAGGTGTACTGTTTAAAATTAAAGACCCAGAGGGAAATTACGATCTTGTGCTATGGCAAAGTTGGCTTTTTAAAACAAATTATTTTTAATTTCTCATTCTGAGAGAGAAATTACAGTTTTATGCTATAACAAAGTTGGCCTTAAAAAATTTTAATTTATCTTATTTTCAGTTTTTCTGGGAGATACATATCTATATATAATTATGGTATCACTAGTCACTAGTGTTTGCATTTGTCCAGACTCAAACCGTACATATTTACTATGTACAGTCCTTTGTATATCGATTATACTTTAATAAAACTTAAAAAAGATATTTGCAATATATACCAATTGAAGACAAAGGTGAAGGTGAAAGAAAATTACTGGTATTTTAACTCTGCCTGATGGCAACTTTGCCTTCATTTTTCTGATTACTTTCAAAGAGACGAAGTCTAATAGCCTGCCTTTAGTCCTTTCTACTTATAGCCCACTGAATTAGTTGAATTAAATACAGAAGCTTTAAGTCCAGTTCTTGCACTGAAGCCAAGTAAGATGCTTCTGCTCAGTTCAGCCTTGGCTTTTTGTTTCAGAAAACTGTCGGATGGGTCCCCATGTCTTCTCAACTTAGTGATGCTTTTCCCGAATCCTGGATTCTTCAGTCAGCAACTCTGAACCAGAGGAAACAATCGCTAAAAAGATAACAGTATCTAGAAAACACTTTGGAAGTGTGTTATCACTGACATTCAGAGACTTCTCCAGGGGTTCCAACTAAATACCTGTGTTTGTTTCCTACAGAATGAAGGTTTTCCAAGTTAATTCCTTAATAAATAAACTTTTCGCTTATAGGATTTAAGAGCCAGCACATAGAGGGGTTGGCTCTGAACTGCTCAAGGGTTAGAAAGTGCATTGTGCCAAGCCAGGTGTGGGTGCAGGAGAGACAGGCGGTGACGGCTCTCCATGTTGATGGTTTTCAAGGTTTGGGAATCATGAGTTTATTCAGTGCATAGGAGACTCATGCGCAGAACCTCAGATCACACACTTCCTCCCTCACCCAGAGCCTGCTCGGCCCCCACTAGGTTCTAAATGCACAGACGCCCTGGTCCAGGGAACCAAGTCACTCCTGCGTGCTGATTTCACAGCTTTGGGGAAAATGCCTTTGGGTTTGTCCTTGGTGAGATTTGGTCAACTCCAAACTTCTGAACGAGTCATGGTACAGCCCTGAACTTTGTGCTTTTGGAAACCCAATGATTTATTGAGCCCTCTGGTGCTATTAGATTTCTTTAAGCCAAAGCTCATAATACACAGTTCCTGGTATGTTATAAACCAAAAGTCACAGCAGGACAAAGCCAGTCGCATAAGCCAGCCCTCTTCTCTCACAGTGAATTATGTACTTAATTAGTGGTATCAGCTGGCAGGGCAGAGGCAGGGAGGGAAGTGATCTTTTTTGCAACTTGGGCACTAAGATGGTTCCTAGAACTAGGTGGTCTAAGCCCAAGGCAGATGTTGACGATGTGAGGATCAAGCCAGATCACATGGGAAGGATT